CAGATAAAAAATGCAATGGCCCAATGGTCCAACCTAACCCTGACCATCATCTTAATTTTAACCATAATCTGCACAGGATTTCTCCCTCTTGCTGCTATTCACAAAAGGATCAAGTCCTCTGCAAGATATCAGTCAACCAGTTTATTTAATAGTAGTTCATAAAATACTGGCCAAAAAAGCCAGTGTGCATTCCATGCACTCTATGTGGGATATATCTGGTGTGAGGTTACAAAATTGTTGAGAAGGTTACAAAATGGTGTGAAATCACTCGAAAACAAGTGATTAGTTTGTGTCTGATTTCATGACCACATCTAAATTGACAGTATAACCACAGAAATACAGAAGTCCATCTCCATTGCTTTTTGCGTAAGCTCTATTCGTCGTGATTTGTCACTCAGCAAGTACCGTAAACAGAAGCAGTCACCCCCCTGGAAATACTAAAAATGGTGCATGTCCAGGGGGGGGGTGACTGCTTCTGTTTACGGTACTTGCTGAGTGACGAATCATGACGAATAGAGCTTACGCAAAAAGCAATGGAGATGGACTTCTGTGTAGTATTCTGTGGTATAACTACACGAATATGATGTTGACATGCATACATATTTAAAAACACACCATATTAACTATTTTCAAAACATGGTTTTAAGTCCCCAAAATTGAAAATCTCTGATGTATTGGTGTAAAGGATCGTACATGTTGGCGTATCTCCGGCGTAGAGTTTACATGGAATGCACCCTGGCAAAAAGGCAGTATTGTTTTGAAAGTTTGATACCTGCTACTGCAATTCTCTAGTTCTAGTTAGTTTCCTCATAACATGCAAGTTCATTACAGGCACTGAAGATGGAAATCCTCCAAGTGGTGAAGTCAAATTTTCATTCAAGTCTACCCGCTCTGCCATGAGTAGCGGGCCACAAGATGCGGGCGCGACGTCCATTACTGAGGTTGACACTGAACTAGACAGAGATGCTCAAGCTATATTTGAGCGGAAATTGGCCGTAAATAAAGATGTGAAAGAGAAAGGCGATGATGACAAAATCTATAAAGGGATTAATAATTATCAAAGTTTCTACGAGAAAAGGGATACTGCACAGGGGAATGCCGCTTCTGGAAGTGTAAGGTAAGAAGGTACAGCCCAGTGGCGTGCGGTCCAGCAAGCGCAGGCAAGCGCCGCTCGACCTAACATTTAGATCTCAACAAAAATATTTGGAGATAATTTTGAAATCAACAATTCTAGATTTTTACTAATAAAACAGATTAAAAACATTGTTTATTACAGCGCCTATTCCAGCTCGAATACGTAATGTAGCACCTATCAATACGAACTCGAGGTTTCAAGTTTCTGTATTTTTCGTGATATTATCTAGACGTTTCGTCAGAAGAAAATAGTAGGAAGTGGATTAATAAGGCTTATCTTAATCTTTCAGCGGGTATTGGTTGTTGCAATGCCCTCACCTGTGCCCTTCACAAAAATTCTTGTTATTTTTTTATTATTAACCAAGGCAAGCACGCTTGCCTTGGCAATCTGCCAAATCAACGATTGCGCATGCTCTAAGTCAACATTCGAGGCTTGCTATTCGAGGAATATACGCGAACTGCAAGCAGCGCTTCTAAGGAACACCGCTCCGTTGCCAATTGGTCAACTATCAATCCTAACATGTTTGCTATCTGATACTTTCGGGACGAGCTTTCAAAATTCAAATACCAATTAAATGAATTAATACGTCTAAAAAATCCTTCCATATAGTACAGTGAATTTGCAGTTGTTGCCTTTATGTATTGCTGAATTTTATGAAAGCATTTAGAAAATTAGAAGATAATATAAGGTTTGTAACACGTTAGCATATCGTTCTCTAGTATATTCTGATATTCAATTTCATATGCACGTCATTTATTTGCGGCTCAAACGCGTGCACAAATTGTATACAAAGTTATACAAGTTGTGTTCTAGAGATCTTGTAACCTAAAACATTCGCAAACTGCCGCACTGATATTTCAAAATAAATCTAATAGTAAAATTTATGTGACACCAAAACTGTCTTTGGGTAAATAACATGCAAACCGCGGCCGCAGGAGAGAGTAGATCGCGTCTTTACAATAATACAACACAAAATTCGCGCGCATATTTGATGACATCATTTTCATATGTGCGTCATATGTACGCAGCACTATGGCACTAGAAAAAGTTCAAAATAGCGGTCGAAAAATAGTGTAGTACTAATTTAATGTAGTGCTAGAAAAGTCCGATGGCGTTCTTAGAATAGACGAGTACGTAGAATAGACGAGTACCATCTCGATCGAGAAAGAACTTTTGACTTGTTTGCAAGGGAAACCAGAGTTTTATGACAATGTTATAAAGGCGTTTTGCGTGAAGGAATGACGAATGGAATTTACATTTAAATAGTTTTACTAACTTTTTTATATACATTTTTTTATAACGCTTATGATGTAGTCATATAAACTGAGTAAATATATGAAATATATATAATATCAGGTATATATTCATCGGTCGATAATCTTGTCGGCTTGATACATGAAAATTTTCCAGCAATTGGTTTGAGCAAATTAGCAGACACTCAATTTTGACAATACGAAACATAACTAAAAAAAAAATTTCTTTGGTGCCCCGTCCTCTGTCGCAGTTTGCAAGCTTCAAGTGAAGAGGGCAAATTTGGACCATGCAGATCTAACTGCAAATTTTTTGGGGCTACCTGCAAAAATACTAAATATACAGGCATGCAAATGAATTATATATACCCAGGTTTCAGAATTAACCTTAATGGCAGACCTAAAATGACACCATATTTAAATTAGGGTTGATGGTATGTTTTTCCAAACAGGCATGGTCCAATACGAGCACCAGCCAATATTCGAGTGACGACAAGATGGGACTATCAGCCAGATATCTGCAAGGATTACAAGGAAACAGGATTTTGTGGTTTTGGAGATAGCTGTAAATTTTTGCATGATAGAAGTGACTACAAACATGGCTGGCAACTAGAACGCGAGGTGGATGCTGGTAATTATGACAAGCAAGATCCGCACCAGTATGAGGTTGACAGCGACGATGATGATGACCTACCTTTTGCATGTTTTATATGCAGAGAGCCATTCACTAATCCAGTTGTGACAAAATGTAGGCATCACTTTTGTGAGTCTTGTGCTCTGACACATTATAAAAAGTCAAAGCGTTGCTATGTATGTAACCAAGCGACACAAGGTGTCTTTAATCCAGCGAAAGATTTGATAAAGAAGATTAATGAAAGCAAACAGAATGAAGAAGCCAATCAGCGGGAGTAAAATCTAGAATCCTATTGTATGGATAGTAGATTGTACAAGTGAGTGAGCTGGGTATTTGCTGAATTCATTCTGGCTTTGGTATTGTACCAAGTTACTAATATCACGTGCAGTCTGTTGTTAAAATTACATCAACTAATCAATAGTATTGTTTACACAAAAAATAAGCAGTGTGAATGTTTTCTTATCATATATTTGATACTTTTGTAGTTCCAGGCAAAAGAGACGAGTTCTGGGCTCTGCTGCCCAGTGCTGTCCACCATGGGCAGAATCCTGCTTACATTCAATGACACAGTACAGTACAATTGTCACTACTTACAGTATAGTAGCAATTCTAGTCCACAAATTACCCGCAAAATTTTGAAACTATACACACAATTTCCATTTATCTTGTTGCTAATGTTCAACATCAAGCGATATTTTTTTAAAGATATAAATGTTTTGTCCTCAAGGGATGCTATTTTTATAATATCAGTGTATGGTCTGGACTGCATGTATATATATTATATATAGGGTGTGTTTTTGTATATATCTTAGTAAAGTCATCTTTTTTTATGTTATTAATGTATTGTTTCATAATTTACTTAAGCCCAGGTTGCTTTGTGCAGCTGTGTGGTCTGATGGCGTTTCCTCCTGTCAAAACAAATTAAAATGCATTAGGAATCTGTACCAAAACTAATATCTACCATTTATACCACTATATATAGCAACTAACATAGCAAAGATTATCAATGTCAATCTCTTAATTGTTTTTGGCATCCAAACTATGAAATTAACTAAACGCAAACTATGCATGCGTAATCAAATTAACATAGAGAGAAAAATACGAAATATAAGGAATAAAAGCAAGTTCTATAATAGCAAGCAAACATTTTTCCAGAAGAAAAACATTTTTAGGAAATCATGTTGCTTGACTTGCCCATTTTATGAATAGCTAGGAGCATTGTTCCTCCGTTAATTTGAAAATGGCCAAAATGTACGACGTATTGGATTTGAAACGTACCGTCGCTGGAATTTCTGTTGGGGGAAGGTCTGCATTTCTTTGATGTTTGTATCCTCGCACCATGAGGTAAGCAATAACAACCACGAAAAACGTTGTCAGTCCAAGACTAAGGATCACCGCTATGATTCCTTTGCTTAAACCACTTTCAGCTATATCTATAGTGGGAAATAGAATAAATGTAGATTTGATTTAACCGTTATGGCCCCTTAATGACGATGCTTTCCATAACATAACACTATAAAGCATGACTACTCGTCTTCATTGTTTTTAAAATCTTACTGAAACAAATGAAATGTATTATTAAAAGTTGTTATACTTAGATATATGTACTATTTATATACCATACAAATTAATAAATGTGCTTTCATATAAAGCTGTATATGATTAATATTATTTGTCAGTTATTCTGCAGCTGACAAACAAATAAACACGCAAACAAACCCGGTAAAAGATAAAACCATCTCATCTGCTAGCCCTGGTAATAATATTTCAAACTTACTTGGTTTTGAAGTGGTATTTTTGCCGTTGAATGTAACGGGGTTGGGCTGAATGGTTAGGAATCCCACGATTAAATTTAGCAGTATCCCGTTGTATACAGACATCATTCCACTACATGAGAAAAAATGTTACCTTGTTTCGAATGCGTTATATAAATGCTATAGCTGCATGAGCAGTAATAAATTACTAATAGAGATATTAGAGTACTATATATAGTAATTCAAATTTGATTCATTTTTCGTGTGATCTGTATATTGATAATATGTTACAGATTTTTCTCAACAATATTGTGCAATATGAAAGATAATACAAAACATTTTTTTATAACCCTATTGATAGGGCCGTGCAAGGGCAATATGATATATATGTGACGAAAAAATACGTTACTATAATAGTTTTGTTTGTGGAAACACCACGTAAATTTATTACTGCAAAGCTTTCGATCCGTAAGCCCGGATCTTCATCAATATTCATACATATTAGCACTGATGAAGATCCGGGCTTACGGATCGAAAGCTTTGCAGTAATAAATTTACGTGGTGTTTCCACAAACAAAACTATTATATTTTATCGCCATGCAAACATACAAAGAACTTAAATACGGTACTGTTTTATCATTTACAGTTTTTCATTTCCAATGATCAATCATATTGAAAAATCTTTATATAATTTTGGGTTCGCCATGATCATGAGTCCATGACTGTCTGAAGCAAGATATCTATGGTCTGAAGCTTGTAAATATAGTGCATTTCAAATATAGTGCATTTCAAATATAATGCATTTCAAATGCACTATAAGTCTAGAACAAAGGTGTCGTAATATTTGTAAGGAGAATCATAAAATTATGATCCAATCTTTCACCCACAGAATCTCGTGCACTTGAGACGTGACTTAGAAATCAAGGTCAAACTACATGACAATTGGAAATCAGATGCTTTCGAAATCACGAAAAAACGAAAGGCTTTCATATCACCTATATTGGGACATTGGGAAATTATGTCCTTTTTTGTGTTTTTATTACTATATTTCGTAATTTTCACGACATTTCATTTGGCCCCAGAGTTGGACTAAATACAAATATTTTATATATATTAAAATATACAAACATTGCTGTGTAACTAGTCTTGAAATCAAATGCTGAAATTCTGAAATCAACGGCAATCAGCTCGGAAATCAAGTCAAAGACAAAGTGACTTCAAAGTCTCGCACGCTTTGAACTGCCGTAGGCATTTTTCTCAACCATATTAGATACACAGTCAATAGAAATCTAAACATTCGCTGGCTAGGAACTTAAAAGTTTGTGTGAAGCAATTAACCTTACCTCATTTATCGTTGTTCGCTACTAGCTATGCTGCTATCAATTACTATACGCCTACATATAGTATAATTTTGTGCTATATATAATATAGCATGCATGAGATATGTACACTGCATGTACAAAGTGCAGATTAAAGCACGCAAAGAAGCCGGTATAAAGCTACAGATTTCATTAGCACTGCCGGCAAAATCTCGAAATCTTGTGCATATCCCACAAAATATCCAAGACTGTGTTAGTATGTACTCTTCCAGTAATAAAAATAACAGAAATAGACACTTACATGAGTTGATGTGTTATAAAGTAGTTCCAAGCTCAGACAGCATAATATGTAAAGACTAAAGGTCGTTTTGTTTGTTTGGAATAATGCAAAAGATATTGGCTGTTGGGATCATATTACAACGGGTCGTATTATGTATAAATTTATATATAGTGCTCTTGTTCACGTGCTGGAGAAACTCATCTTCGTTCTTGAGTCGCATGAATTATAAAACTTACTATGTTTTTAAATAACCTCAACAGACACGTTTACTCGCCTAGTTTATAATTTTACTACATATATATCACTTCGTATCCAGCTGAGAAAAATAGGAAAATGGCGGGCAGAAACCATATTCGGAGCTAAAGTGTTGAAGAGATGGAAGACGCGTTTTTCATTTTACAAATTTAACTAGACATATAATTGTCATAAAGAAAATTATACGTCGTACGTCATAAATTAATTCAAACAACGATGGCACATATTTTACACTATTATGATATCGATGTCATTGAAATTATTTTTACATTCACTAATAAATTAATAATGATTTTCGCTCGATGTGTCTTTTCCTTTGATGAATGATGGCATAATTAAAGCGGCGTATGATTGTTGCGTTTTACAACCTGCAGTTCCAAACGAAGGAGAAATGTCAGCTTTCCATGTCTAAGACATGAAATTGGGCGGAACTTTATGTATTATATGTAATGTTTGCAGAGGTTTTTATGTACTATTTATCATAAAACTTCCTCGGCGAAATCTTTCGATTGCTCATTTTCTGTTTTACTTCCGGAATCTTTGCCATTCTACAGGAAAGAAAAGATTCATTCATTCATTTAGGGGCCATTCACAAAGGATGTCCGGCTAGACTATGGATTTTCAGACCCCCCCTCCCCCCCTTGTCCGGCATTGTCCGAATTAGTGACCTCCCCCCGGACATCCGCTATGCCTCGCAAAAACCCACGCAACCTTGTATATGTCAAGAGAAAAACTTTACTTTTAGAACTTTTTTAACCCAAAAGTGTGAATACAAAAACATATAAATTACTAATTAAAACAAAATCTAGTATTAACCGCATAGTCAAAATCAGCCAATTTCACAATGGGAAGGAGAGTCCAAAATAGAGGAAAAAGAAATTTGTTTTTGAATTTTTTAAAATTTCGTACATCCGGATTGCTAAAAACTCCCCTCTCCCCTATGTCCGAGTTTGTCCTGATTTTCCAAACCCCCCTCCCCCCTCTGCTCGGACATCCTTTGTGAATGGCCCATTATTTAAAGTTACTCATGGTATTTCAAGCATAGCATTGTTCAGTGCCACAAGATCGGTGACCAGTTCGTTCTTGCCTTATTCAATCTCTCCATTTTCAGCAACTGTCTGTGATTCATAAATCTCTTATTTTCCAAATGTCCACGACATAGGAAATATCCGATGCACCCAAATATTAGAACGGTTAAACAAACTCCTAGTACCACTGCTATTGTCACGTTAGAGTCGTCGCCATCACCACCTAGGGAAATGAAATGAACAACATTCAGTAATGCGAGCGAATGAAAAGTTGAACAATTAACATTAGCATTCAGATACTTTAAATTTAATAAATTGTTCGTTCGCAGTAGACCATAGTATGTTAGACAAAACAACGTTACCCGTATAAATGGGAACCGTCGTAATATGAGATGCATTGAATTGACCAATTGCGTAATAGACTAAATTTTGATCTCAACAAAAATTTCATCACAGCTTGAAAGAGCATCATAAAATTAGTAATATTCCAAAGTTTCGTTGCGAAATGTTGTAAAATGCGGAAAATATAGCCTTGCGAAGTTTGCAATTTTCAGTCATTTTAGATTACAAACGGGAAATTGACAGCCTCAGAGGGTTTGGGGCTGTCAATTTCCCATTTGTAATCTAAAATGACTGAAAATTGCAAACTTCGCAAGGCTATATTTTCCGCATTTTACAACATTTCGCAACGAAACTTTGGAATATTACTAATTTTGTGATGCTCTTTCAAGCTGTGATGAAATTTTTGTCTAGACTTGTTTAGATCTAAATTTAGTCTATTACGCAAATGGTGAATTAGTAGCTGAATCACCCGAGCGAGAATTAAATTGAATGCTAACACTTAACAGTTATGAACGAAATTTTACAAGTATTCTCCATCAACTCAGGGTTAGGGAGAGGTGGTCCACCATAGAACTAATAGATATCTATTATTTCTATGTGTTCCAGCCACCCTCACACACACCCTCATCCCAACACACCCCCTCATATCCCCACCTCCCTCACACCCCTCTCACACAATCATTATCGCACCCCCTGGACATCTTGGTATTTTGTATGGCGCCACTCTTGACCAATTGTCTTCTTTAATTATATCGTCTAAAACATTTTCACATTTCCAACATTCCAACTAGAAATATTGAATGAGACAATACGCGTGCTGGTAGGTTGTTTTCGTAAAACATTTTCGTATGAAGATACGGAGAGTACTGGAAATGGTATTGCATGTAATTGTGGGTATTTCATTCAAGTTGTGAGCCGGGTATACATAATTAATTTTCTCGTCAATGTCAACAATGTTTCACTTCAATGCTGAACTGTTACAGAGGCTCGTGGATGAAGGTTAATTTCACCTGTGCACTTATAGTCCTTAGTTGGGCAATTTTAGATAATTGTACCATTTATTGCGGTTGTATGCACAAGTCTAATAGGGTGTGAAATTGAGCGAAAAATGGAGGGTGAATCCATTTGATAAGATCGAAAGTGCAAAAGTTTCCATCTGTAAAACTGTGCATTGCTGTTTATGTCTAAGTCATTTTTTGGCAACTAGCATTTACATGGAAACAATGATACTTCGTGTTCAACGATACTTCGATCATGTTCAGCAATAAATGCAATAAATATCAATTTATTTACCGATGGTGTACGTCATCAGACGCAGAGCGGAACAGCAATTTCAATTACGCAATTGAAATATCTAAAAATATATAACAAATAAAGGGCCAAATATTTTCTTATATTTTGCGTAATTCTATAATGATACCCCAACAATGCGAGCCATGCCAGCTCAAAAAAGTTCAACAGTTCTGTTGGTACTTTATAACATTGTTTCCACACCCAAGGTTTGAGCTGCTGTGACCGTTACGTTGTTACGAGTTAATCCCATTACATTATGCAAGTCTTTGAAAGAGATTCAAACTTCACACAACTAAAATGTATTTTGTTTGGAAAAAAATTGCAGGCGTTCACTGTCTCACTGAGTCTTCAGTTTCTTTGGATCGACCACATGCAGTAACGCGTCTCGCGATCATTGTTCAGTAACAAGTCAACCAAAGTAAACTTTAAACTTGTATAGTTTCGTGAGGTCTTTAAAAATTTCAAACTTTACACATTTTAACAAAGGTGTATTTTGTCCCAAAACCTGCCTTGAATTTTATTTGCCGCGATTAATGTCATTAGAGAGTTTAAGCTTCGCGTTATACCGCGTCAAACGGCAAACGCCAGGCAAAGAGAAATTTTACGGTATCGGGCAATAAAGAGTAAATGAACTTGCTGTTTTAAAACTGAAATACATAGACATAGTTATTCTTTCGACGCAAGAAAGAAAATATGAAACGCAAACGTTCAACGTTTGCCAAGAAAGTTCGAACCTGTCGTTTGCCGTTCCCGGAAACGTGAAATTTAAACTCCCTAACAGGGATAACCATTTTATTATAAAATGGTTCTGCGTATAATTCATTGCCATGGCATTTATATGAGTGCAACACCAGCAAACTGAATATTAATCAGCAAACACACGTGGCATGCATGTTGTATACATTTATTTAACGTGTACAATATACACATATATATATTTATATATATATATATACAAATACAACATATATAAAAATATAGCTAGCATTCCTCAGCAAAAGTTTAATAGTATCGTATCATTAAAATCTGCATTAAAGTTCTAAATATATATTTAAAATTTTGCCACATAGGCTTACCTTTATTCGTGTCTGAACGAGCTGTAGAATTTTTCAACGTTTCTGTTAAGTAAACCAAATTTATAAGATTTAGGAGTAAAACAAGACTTTGTGAAGTAAAACCCATGTCAATGAACCTATCTATAGGTAGTCCACTATCAGCGCCATATTAATATCGTTGATACAATTTCATATTGTTGATATTTCGTTCAGATCGAAAGGTCCATACGATATCACTGACCACTGTTACTGAATGACTTGTCGGCTTTGTTTGACATTTGTACTTTGTCATAATGCGATCACTTCATTTGCATAAAGCGGACATGGACTTGACTGACCGCACAATGACTGACCTCGCGCGTCGTCTTTGCATTTTGATATCTTATAATGTAATCTAGCAATATATTACTATCCTCTAAACGCAATTTCCATTGTACAGATCCATGTATTTATAGTTCGTCGTATAGAAAGAGTAAGGAGAATGTTTGAAATAACCAGAAACCTTTCTTTCTTATTTCAATTGTCAGGGTGGTCTGCAGGTCGTAGTCTGCAGGTCGTAGTCTGTACACGGTAGACCATAATATGATGGCATTGGTGATAATGTTAGGGTTGGGGGGTGTGGACCATCCCGTGCTGGTTGATATGATGATGGTGTTTGATAGTATGGTGGTTCTTGTTGGTCTGTCATACCACTGCGATTTTCTGATGGTTCGGCAGAATGAACGAGTGGTATCCGTGAGAGCAGTGGTTCTACATCATCTGTCTGATCATTGTCAATTCCAGGATCATGTTGGTCAATAGTTTTCAATGTTCTACAAACGTGTATAGATAATTAAAGTGACAATTACATAAACCATAATACGCAGTATCCGCTTTTACATTTGTATCTGCTAAATTCAATTCAATAACCAGGCGTCATTCAAGGACTTTTCAAGGGCTTTCAAGGTCGTGTATCAGGGAAGTCAAGGACTAAAGGGCAGAAAAGAAGGCATTAGACATCAGTAAATGAATTTCAAAACAGCTTTGCAAGACATGAACAAAATCAGTTTGACGAAATGTCCGTTTTTTAATATCAAACAATTTCAGCAAGAAGAATTGAAAGTATTTCAAACACTTGTTTATAATTTCAAGGACGTTCAAGGCTTTGCATCTTTGTTTTCAAATGCAAAGACAAGTTTTGTACGTGAACGCTGTTTGAATGAATTCTCTCGCAATGGACAATTCCTTTCTCTCACAATGGACAATTCCTCTCTCTATGCTGGACGCCTCCGAGCAACAAAAAGCCAGCTTCGATCCCAACGGGTTGCACTTAAATTTATTCATGCTAACGTTAATTCAAAAACAAACCCGGCATGAACAATTAGTGCAGAATACCACGGTGTGAACGAGACATAGTATACCACAACGCACAAAACAGCAACATATAATTCTATATATCAATTTTATATGCTTAAAACTTCAAGCAATTATTTCCTTCCAAATTATAAAAAAATGTTTTAATCAATGGAGCTTAAAAGTTTCTGCGCTTGACGTCATTAAGAAACCTAAACCCGATGGGATTAGAGCCTGGATTAGGCTGGATTCGGAAATCTAACTTGACGTAAGCGAGATCTCGGTTACCAGGATGAGAATTCCTCACATAAATACTGCGAGCATTCGGTAGAAGATTCAGCTTCACATGTGAAAATCTCACAACTTCTCAACAAGATGTGTTCGCAACAGGCTTGTAGCAAGCTTGTGTGGCGTTTGTAGGTAGTACATCTGCATTGACGCAAAGCGTATAATTACAGTAATAGGATGAGGAGGTCGAAGGTATGTTGTTTCACGAGTTATCTTAGCTGTTGGCGTGTAATGATGTGTAAATGACGTAGTTCCTTTCTTGGGAGAGGCCAAGGCTCGCGCAATGTTGTATTATAGATCAGTGGCGGCGGAACAGATTTCATTTCGGGGGGGGCTAAATTTTTTTTCCGTTACACCCCCCCCCCCCCCCCCCCGTCGCCAAAAAAATTTCGGTCTGTGTACCGTTTTAGGGGTACAAAAATTATTCCGGACATATACAACAAAAGGGATGAAAAATTTTTTCCAGACCTATAACAAAAAATTTTTCCGGAAATACACAATTTTTTAACAAAATATTGCAAATTTCCCCCCTCATACTTAAATTTTCAAAAAATACACTAAATTTTTCCTTAATTATCAAAATTTTTTCAGAAAAAACAAAATATTCTGGGGGGGGCTAAGCCCCCCCACTTTTACTTCTGGGGGGGCTTTAGCCCCCCTTGCCCCCCTGTTCCGCCGCCCCTGTTATAGACTGTGCTTGACTTTAATCAATTGTTCTCCAGTCTGGCTTTGACTTCGCGCAATTGTTGTGCATTGTGCTCGGCACGTTACACTTGTCAACAAGTTGTAACAATGGTGTTATTTTATCAAGTTGCTACAAGGTTGTCACCCACAACCTGTTGACAAATTGTTGAATAGCAGGACGATAACAAGTTGCAACAAGTCTGTTGAGCTCAACAACCTTGTAGGAAGTTATCAACAAGTTGTAACAATGCTGTTATTTCATCAAGTTGCTACAAGGTTGTCACTCACAACTTGTTGACAAATTGTTGAATTGCAAGACTATAATAAGTTGTTGGAACAACTTGTAACAAGTCTGTCGAGCTCAACAACCTTGTAGCAAGTTGTCAACAAGTCGCTGATAACTTGTCTACAAGCTGGGAACAAGAAGTGCGAACCGGCCTTTGGCTTTATCAGTCTATTGTCCAGATGGCTACCTTTTGCGAGGTTTCTACCGGCAAAGCGGCTCACAAGATCTCGGTTATATCGAAGAAGGAGTATGTTGTAAGCCACCTGGAGCCCCTGTTAACTGGGCCAGCTGTTACCACGAAGACATAACGCTGAGTTTTGATGAACCGTGGGCCACGGCAAGCTGCCAACAGCCATTGCATTTCATCCAAGCAATAAGAACATCAGAAGGCGAGAAAATCATAAATATGGAAGAACTATATTGCTGCAAGATGGCGTCTATGAATTAAGCCGTTTGATTTCTGAGATATAATCTCGAACGCCAGGGTATTCAATAACGACGATAACCAGATAAAAGCCAGACGAAGGCCTTCGCTCGAACTGTCAAAGTTATCAGCTTGAATTTTTCAAGTATATGCGTAAAAATGCACACGTTGTTACAGCTTTGCAAACAAGTTGTTACAAATTTGTTCACAAGCTGTCGACAAGTTGTGTTCGCACTGCTTGTTCCCAGTTGTTGTATCAAGTTTGGAACAAGCTGTTAACAACTTGGAACAAGCTTGATGGCATTATCAGACTTGTCACAAGGTTGTTCACAAGGTTGTTCAGACTTGTCACAACAAGTCTGATACAGTCATGATATAACAAGAATGTTACAAGGTCGACAACACAAGGTTGTAACAATATTGTTATATCATGACTGTATCAGACTTGTTGGAACAACCTTGCTACAAGTCTGATAATATCAACAAGCTTGTTACAACTGTTAACTAACTTAACAAGTTGTATACAATATTGTTATATCATGACTGTATCAGACTTGTTGGAACAACCTTGCTATACAAGTCTGATAATATCAACAAACTTGTTACAACTGTTAACAACTTGTTTCATACTTGCTGACAATTTGGGACAAGCATTGCGAAGACACAAGACTTGTAGCAAGTCTGCCAACAAGCCGTCAACAAGTTGTCTTCGTAAGTACAAGATGTGGAATTTTTGCGTGTATGGTTGTATTTCAATTGCGGTCTATCTGAAGTATACCTGGTTGTACCTCAGTCTCTTGTGAGAGGGTTGCACTTAAATTTATTCATGTTCACGTTAATTCAAAAACATACCCAGCATGACCAATTTAGTGCAGAATACCACGGCCTGAACGACACATAGTACCTTGGCGCATCATATAATTCTATATATCAATTTTATATGCTTTTACTTCAAGCAATTATTTCGTTCCAAATTTTAAAAAAATGTTTTAATCAATGAAGCTTAAAAGTTTCTGCGCTTGACGTCATTAGGCAACCTAAAGCTGGATTCGGAAAACTAACGAGCTGTGGGTTCCCAGGATGAGAATTCCTCACATAAACACTGCGAGCATTGTACACGATTCAGCTTCATATGTAACAATGTAAAAATCTCGCAACTTGTCAACAAGATGTGTTCGCAACAGGCTTGTAGCAAGTTGTGTGGCGTTTGTAGGTTGCATGATGCATTGACGTAAGTCGTAATTACAGTAATAGGATAAAACTGAAGCTACGTTGTTTCACGAGTTGCTGTTGGCATGTAATGATGTGTAAATGACGTAGTTCCTTTCTTGGGAGAGGCGGCAAGGCTCTCTCAATGTCGTATTATAGATTGTGCTTGACTTTAATAAATTGTGCTCCACTCTGGCTTTGCAATTGTTGTGCATTCTGCTCGGCACGTTACACTCGAACAACTTGTAACAATGATGTTATTTTATCAAGTTGCTACAAGGTTGTCACTCACAACTTGTTGACAAATTGTTGAATTGCAGGACGATAACAAGTTGTTGGAACAACTTGTAGCAAGTCTGTTGAACTCAACAACCTTGTAGCAAGCTGTCAACAAGTTGTAAGGGTTGTAACAATGCTGTTATTTTATCAAATTGCTACAAGGTTGTCACTCACAACTTGTTGACAAATTGTTGAATTGCAGGGCGATAACAAGTTGTTAGAACAACTTGTAACAAGTTTGTTGAACTCAACAATTTTGTAGCGATTGTCAACGAACCGTTGATAACTTGTCAACAAGCTGGGAACAAGCAGTATGAACCCGGCCTTTGGCTTTATTAGCCGAGCTGGAGGTTGCCAAGGTTACCAAGACTGCTGCGTGGGTTGGCTGGACACCGGCAAAACAATAAAATCAGCGGTTTTGCAAACGGGGTGAAGTTTTATTTCCGGCGCTTACCTGGATGTCCCGAGCACTTGCCAGTTCTACAGACCCCAGGATTTTGAATACGACGTGACGGTATTTGAAACCGAATTTCTGTTGCAAAGTAGTAAAGCACACGAATTCTGAACCCCACCAACACTCAGAATAATTGAACTATAATTAGTATCAACTGCGGGTTGTTATGTTAATAACCTGCTAATTTTCCAAGATACTCGTTGAACCTGTACTAACAAACGCGTTATATTTTGAATGATGCTATAACAACAGATTTGTTTTGCGTTTATACTGAGGAACGATACGAGCGGCACGCATTACAATATATGAACTCTTTCGTTCCTGGCTCCATTCACGAAGAATTTCTTCGATATCTCGTTCAAGAAACATCACGCAGATGGCAATGACGCGTTTTTGGTGCGTAATTTTGTGGATCAGCGTGATTTCTGAGCTGTTGCTATGCAGAAACGTTTGTGCGAGTCTTTGCCATCGTGAGGAACGTTTTCGTAAACTTGAAGGTATGAAATACACCGATCGATAACACGTAAAAATACACGAGTTGTAACAAACTTGCAGCAGACTTGTAGCAATGTTGTTCCAACAACTTGTCAACAGGATGTGTTCGCACTGCTTGTTCCCAGCTTGTTGACAAGCTGTCAGCAGTTTGTCTACAACTTGCTACAGAGGTTGTTGAGCTCAACAGACTTGCTACAAGTTGTTCCAAAAACTTGTAGCAACTTGATAAGAAGACAGCATTGTTACAACTTGTTAACAATATTGCTACAAGCCTGTTGTGAACACATCTTGTTGACAAGTTGTGAGATTTTTACGAAAACATTTTCCCGATCCATGCTGGCGTTATCGTTTTTTATATTATTGTATTAATATAAAAACTTTAATACTGTTGATAGTCATAGATTGTTAATCTTGTGAGATTGTGATGTATCTGTGTATGTTGGTATTTGTGACGCATCCGTGACAGTCAGCCTAGACCTAGGCTTTCTATTTTTATTTCATATTTTTAATCTTCAGCGATTTTTCACATGAAAAGACTGGGACTAGGTGATTTGGGGGCGGGGCGGAGGAAGGACACAAGCCTAGGCTTGCTTCCTCCGCCCCGCCCCCAAATCACCTAGTCCCAGTCTTTTCCTGTGAAAAAGCGCTGAATATTAAAAATATATAAATAAGACTAGAAGGCCTAGGTCTAGGCTGCGTGACAGTATATCCTACGTATTTAAAGTATGTTAACTGCATGAGTATCGTAATCACGTGATGTAATATATTTCTAGAACTTAGGAGGACCAGATTGGAAACAAGCAGTACCAACTATAGCTTTATCTGTAAATCCTCGTCAAATAAAATGTTATTATTATTATCAACATTTCAATTTCTTGATTACATTCTTTAGGCCCATTCCCATCAGATACTCCGATTAAAGTTACAACAAAAAGTACATTAACCTTCTGTTCCATTGAATGCCTTGAAGTCCCTGGATGCAAATCTATCGCGTTTCTGACCACGACCGGTACGGACAATTGTCATCTTGGGCCCAATGAAGATGGCTTGGCTACACCTACAGAAGCTGAAGTTTACAAGTTGAGAAACTTTCCCAAAACAATCCGGGTCAGTATAAAGATCGTTTTCAATTCAATCTACTGTCAGTATAACCCGATCCAATTCAATTCAATTATGCTTTATTTAAACAAAGTAAAATGGAGTCCCATGAAGGTATAAATTAAATAAAACATTCAACGTTATTTTCATTCCAGGGTTGTGCTTCATCCCCTTGCAAAAATGGGGGTACATGTGAGGATCTGTGTGAACAAGCTCCTTACTATCTGTGTCGATGCCCTGCGGACAAACAGGGTTATGACTGTAAATGGGACATCAGTAAGTGTTGCCAGATATAGCTTTCATGTTACGATTTCTTTCATTCTTCTCTCTCTTTGGTTTCTCCATGAAAGAAAGAGCCAGCAACAAAACCATGTTCACAAGCTGACTCCTTCCCAGCTCTCTCTGTGAGCACGCGCGGGCGACGCTTTCCAATTCGCCACGCGTCGCCCGCGCATGCTCACGCGAGACGACTGCGGAGGAGTCAGGTTCACGAGAATATAAATTGTTTGGGCAGTTTGGAAAAAGTCGCAATGAAAAACAAAAAAAATTGCAGCCAATTACAATCAAGCAATTACTTTATTAAAAACATTTTACTAAATAAAATACCTCGAGTTTTCTGCCAGTGTACAGTACAGTTCTAAAACCATTTACTTCACTTGAAAATATGTAAACAAAAACGTAACAAAGTCAAAAGCGTTTAAATGTTTCACGCTACGTTGCAACACGAATTAATTGCGGCTGAGAAAAGCTGTCAAAATATTAAACAAAACTACAGAAGAGTACAATCAGTAGAGCATGTTTGCAGTTAATGGCTACAAGATTACTGTATATATTATAAAACAATTGAACCATTCTCTCTCGTCGCTGTCAACTATAGAGAACGACATTGTCGCATTGACGGCTCAGCTATTAATACTATAGAACAGAGGTTGTTCCGAATAAAGTGTACATAATAATAACTTGCAAATTACAAAAACTGTATATTTCGAATGAAATCTGATTCATCTTCAGCAGTGTTTTGCAAGATATGCAAAATATCTTGATATCTTGCAAAACAATGCTGAAGTTGAATCAGATTTGAATTGCTTGCAAATTGCAATGCGTTTCCCAAGTTGTCAACAAATATGGAACAAGCTTGTTAATAACTTGTAACGATCTTGTTCATATTATCAGGCTTGTTGCAAGGATATTTCAACAAATCCTATAGTGGAGTCATGATATAACAATATTGTTAAAATCTTGTATCATCAACCTTGTAACATTGTTGTTGTATCATGACTGTATCAATCGACACAACAACTATGAATTATTAAAGTCTATAATTGGGTGTCTTTAGGTCTTTCAAATGTGGACTGGAAGCTTGCATTTGATGACGCAGGAACTCATACATGTACTGGGAACACATTCCTGGCGGGTTTTAAAAGGAGTGATGGTGACCAGCTTAATAATATTGAAGAAGCAGTATGTGGCGCACTTCAGTTTGAATACAGTGAGTCGTCCATCACTTGTACCAATGCAGATTGGTGGAACACATTCGCGAAGTAAGTTCATCTCTTGTGTATCTTTTAAAATTGAACAAACAACAATCACCTAAGATTCAATTATTCATTCGTAGGATTCAAAAGTATAATTCAGTGATCCACTGATTAAATCTTATGTTCAAGGATTGCATCGTAGAATTCCATTCAATTTTAGATTCTACGATTTAGTCTTTGCACTTAATGATTGCAATATTAAGATCCAATAAATTAATCCTATAATCCAATGATTCATTATTAAGATTTAAGAATTCATTCTTCTTACGATTCAATAATTATAATCTTAGGATTTTATATTTAAGATTTAATTTTATGATTCAATTATTAATTGCTATGATTTAATGAGTCAATCTAAAGATTCAATCTTACAGTTTAATCATTAAATCTTAACATTCAATGGTAACGTTTTCAATGATTTATTCTTGTTTGTATGCCGAAAACAAAAGTTTGTTGAAATATTTTAGACATTCTTGGAGCCTCTGTCCAAATGGCTACCTTTTGCGAGGTTTTATGCGGCAAAGCGGCTCACAAGATCTCGGTTATATCGAAGAAGGAGTATGTTGTAAGCCACCTGGATCCCCTGTTAACTGGGCCAACTGTTACCACGAAGACATATCGGTGAGTTTTGATGAACCGTGGGCCACAGCAAGCTGTCAACAGCCATTGCATTTCATCCAAGCAATAAAAACATCAGAAGGCGAGAGACTCATAAATATAGAAGAACTATATTGCTGCAAGATGGCGTCTATGAATTAAGCCGTTTGATTTCTGAGATATAATCTCGAACGCCAGGGTATTCAATAACGACGATAACAAGACAAAAGCGAGACGAAGAGCCTTCGCTCGAAACTTTAAAGTTATCAGCTTGAATTTTTCAAGTATACGCGTAAAAACGCACAAATTGTTACAGCTTTGCAAACAAGTTGTTACAAATTTGTTCACAAGCTGTCGACAAGTTGTGTTCGCACTGCTTGTTCCCAGTTGTTGTAACAAGTTTGGAACAAACTGTTAACAGCTTGGAACAAGCTTGATGGCATTATCAGATTTGTTACAAGGTTGTTCTAACAAGTCTCATACACGGTCATGATATATAACAAAAATGTTACAAGGTTGACGACACAAGGTTGTAACAATATTGTTCTATCATGACTGTATCGGACTTGCTGGAACAACCTTGCCACAAGTCTGATAATATCAACAAGGTTGTTAGAAATTGTTAACAGCTTGTTCCAAACTTGTTGACAACTTGGGACAAGCAGTGTGAAGACAACTTGTTGACGGCTTGCTGGCAAACTTGTTACAAGATGTGGGATTTTTACACGTATCTCAATTGCGGTCTATCTGAACTGTATGCCTGATTGTACATCAGTCTCTTGTGAGAACATACTGAAGTCCCGTAGACTGCTAGGATGGTAAAGGAAAAACAACAATCTTACGAAACGTCGAAGTTCGAACGACAGCCGTTCATAAAAGAAACAAAACTAATTCATAATATGACGAACATTTCATCAATATCATTTTTCTTTCACAATAATGATTATCACACAAATACTGCACGAAATCTACACGCACATGCATCTAGTAGTAATAATAGAACTTGTAAATAACACATTTAGCTTTGCATTCTTTTACATCTAAACATTCTAAATATTATAAGTATTATCAGCTTTCAAACGAATTTGCCAATTGTAAATAAACGGCATGAAATTTGGGTCCGCACAGCCACAGGTCAGGAACAGTAACTTTTCATGGACTTTCAAGGCCCAGGGCCAGGAAATTCAACGACTATAAAGGGTATGCAATCAATTAAACCAAAACGATACAGCTTTATCGAAATATTGAAAATTTAACCAAGTCTAAATACGTACATGACGTATAAGACGAAAGATACAGATTTCATTTTGAATGGTCTGTCAGTGTAGGTAGAGTCAATAACAGTCTACCGACCCTCGGCTAATTTTGCGACCAAGCTAGGGCCTTCGCTCGATCGAAACGTCGAAGTTCTCGTTGTATTTTTCAGGTACACGCGTTAAAACGCACAGCTTGTAACAAATCTGCAAACAAGTTGTTACAAGTTTGTTCACAAGCTGTCAACAAGTTGTGTTCGCATTGCATGTTCCCAGTTTGCTGTAACAATTAAGTTTGAAACAAGCTGTTAACAACTTGTAACAAGCTTGATGGCATTATCAGACTTGTTACAAGACTGTGCTAACAAGTTTGTTACAGCCATGATATACGAAGGATGTTACAAAATTGTCAGCACAAGGTTGTAACAATCTTTTTATATCAAGCATGTAACAAACTTGTCAGAACAACCTTGCAACAAGTCTGATAATTTCGACAAGGTTGTTACAAGTTGTCAACAAGTTGTTCCAAACTTGTTGACAACTTGGGACAAGCAGTGCGAATATATCTTGTTGACGGCTTGTTGGCAGACTTGTTACAAGATGTGAGATTTTTACGTGTGTTATAGTTGTACTTTATCCCTATCAATCCGGCGAAGCTTTCTTACAAATTTTATTTACACGAATTGGGACAACTAAAATAAGATAAAGTTATTCTTTTGCTTTAAGATAAAATACAATTGTGGTAGCATAGCATGCATTTATTTAACAATTCCACGTTCACTTTTACGAAGTTAGTTGGTTTTCTTGAGGGAAATAATGTTCCTGAATCCTTCCAAGTTTTCATCTGCTGCAGCGTCAGCTGGCGATGGTGGAACGTCTGGGATCGTCTAATGAAAAATATTCATGTTTAGATTGGAATGATTGCCAATCCAGACTTTGAAACACGTAAAAACACACAAGTTGTAACAAGCCTGCAGCAGACTTGTAGCAATGCTGTTTCAACAACTTGTCAACAGGATGTGTTCGCACTGCTTGTTCCCAGCTTGTTGACGAGTTGTCAATGACTTGTCGACGACTTGCTACAAGGTTGTTGAGCTCAACAGACTTGTTACAATTGCTATTGTCCTGCAATTCAACAAGTTGTGAGTGACAGCCTTGTAGCAACTTGATAAAATAACAGCATTGTTACAACTTGTTGACAACTTGCTACAAGGTTGTTGAGCTCAACAGACTTGTTACAAGTTGTTCCAACAACTTGTTATCGTCCTGAAATTCAACAATTTGTCAACAAATTGTGAGTGACAATCTTGTAGCAACTTGATAAAATAACAGCATTGTTACAACTTGTTGACAAGCTTGCTACAAGCCTGTTGCGAACACATCTTGTTGACAAGTTGGAGCAAACAAATCCTTGGATCGCTCAAAATTAAATTTTCTTACAAACGTGCATTGCGTCGGGGAGCTTTCTGGGAGCTGTATCCTGGAATAATCCTCCCATAAGTCCCATTGAAATTGTCCAAAAGTATTATTACTCTCCATTACAAAACTCTGATATTATAACTGTAACTTGGAGAAGCTTTATGACAATTTCGATTCAAGTAAGCTTGAGTAATATTGAGTAATAAATTACCATGTTTGGTTTATAATAGTGGTGGACCACAGTAGCACCAGCAAGCATAGAGATCATGCTCGTGGTAAGGACTTTCAAATAACTTCCCCATGCCATTCCTGCGGGCATTTTTACCAATAATATGTAGTTAATTTATGAATTGTTTGAATTTTATATTTTTAATGTGTAGTTTTAGTCTGTTCTTCAAGTCTTCTTTCAGATTCTTTTCTTATAACAGTGTCATCTAAAAAGAAATGAAAAAAACCTTGTAGTCCTTGTAAATGTACGTTTTTGCATATTAATATATTATACAGTATGTGTGGTACAACCAGGACACACAGAGCAGACTACTATACGCAGGATTTTTTCACCAGTGGGCAGTGTTAGATGCATGCTTATGGCCGTGCAATAAGGAGTTGTACAATCTGATTCACAAAATTATAAGCGTCACTTGCTATTGTGTTTATATGGGATAAGGACCAGTCAACTCGGCCACTCTGGTTTCCATATAAATTACACAAAGTCTAATAGGAAATATTATATAATACCTTATTAAATTCTAATCGTTTAATTGGCTGTTTATGGTCACGTGATATTGAATAGAAAATTCCATTTCCCAAGAGTGCAATGGAACACGTTCCATTGCACTCTCCGCGAGTGCAATGGAATAAAACGTATAGTACAATTGCACTCTTTGTGTTTTAGATAAATCGCATCCCTCAAAATGCTTCTCATACGAATCTATTAGTCTATTTTTGTATTATATAAAACAAATAATGAATGTTTCTTCGTGCAATGGTAAGAATATTTTCATTCGGTGAAAGATGGAATGTTCCATTCAACTCGGCTGTCGCCTCATTGAATGGAACATTCCATCTTTCACCTCATGAAAATATTCTTACCATTGCACTCATAAACATTCATTATTTGTATAATAGCAAACGCTGGATATCTCGCCAAACCAGCCAACCTCGTACCCAGGGTGTTACTGTACCTTTGCACGCCCTCCCGCTACGGATTCTGGGTATGAAGTTGCAAAGCAGCTAGGGCCGCGGCTATGCCAAGACTATAAAGCTTGATTTCTGTGTAGGGACACATAAGTTCCTAGATGGAAATTGGAAACTCCAAACAGCACTCAAAAGTGTGGGGACAAACTTTACAGTCTGGTGCTCAGGGTTCCATAAAAAAAACTTTAACCATTAAGCTGGAAAGCACCCAAATGCGCTCTACTTTCATTATTACTGTACTCTGTCTAACGCCAGATGATTTTACTCGTCAAGCGGACTCGGGGAGTCTTTTTAATAATAGACTTACAAAATGTTTCATTCCCTACACGCACTTTGATCATGAAAAGTTCAATGGCTGCTCCCAGAAAGAAAAAGACAGGCATAAATTTATACACGCCAAGACGTTGGCTCCATTTATCAAACATCACAAATTTGAAGCATTTCTTATTTATCAACACAGCTCGCAACTCAATTGATGAGTATCAACCCCCCTGGAATGTAGTCTATGTTGGTTTATAACAGGGGGGTTAGTAAAATTCAAAATGGCTGAAAACGTGACTCAATTGATGAGTATCAACCCCCCTGGAATATATTCTATGTTGGTTTATAACAGGGGGGTGAGTACAATTCAAAATGGCGGACCACTTGACTCGGGGAAAACAGAAACTTGATAAAAAAGACGCGAAAATTCGATACAGTCCGTACTTGTGAGTAAATATTTTTATTATGTTGTCTTACGTACAGTTGATAGTTACCATTGTAGTTGTTTATTTGTGCACATTATCAAAACTCAAGAAATATAAATCAAAACGAACAATTACAAATAATTTGCTATCAAAGAGTTTAATAGAGTTTATATTGTGCATAGTTTAATATCGAGAAGCAAATAAACCAATGATAAGAACAAAATAGAAAATTAATGTATCGTACACGTAAAGCCTTGTTTATATACTATACTAGGAATTTGGAATTGGTAAATTCTAAGTTTTGAAGGATTTGTAAGAAATGTTTGAGGGAGGCCCTCTGATCGACTCACTGTTTAACATTCATTACAACATCAGTTCCTTCTTACAAATACTTCAAAACGGCTATTAGTAAAACACGGAGCACACGGAGTACGGAGCACACGGAGCACGGAGCACACGAAGTACGGAGCAGTAGAAAAACGAAAATCCTTTATAATAAAATACACTGTTTACTATTACAATTTTTTGTTATTATTAACAAAGTTTTTTCGCGTATTACACGTTGGGGAAGTAGGAAAATGGGGCTTTTACTGAAAAACACATATGATGCAAAACCAGGCTGCCAAAAGCCATAGTATTTAAAATGGGATTGTGAAACTCGTTATCTTACATCTATCAAGCTTATGTAGTTATATTATATTCCGATGGGCAACACATAAAGAAACACTTACTGTAGAGAACAGCCGATATATTTCGTTACCCCTGCCAAAAATAGCCAAGTATACTCATCTTTCAATGTAGTGGATCGACTGAACATTAAATCTTGTGATGAGAAAAGTGAATTTTCGGTTTGTCCTTCGGCTCAGTGACCGGTGGCAGTGAGCTGTACGGCCGGCTAAGTTTAAACCGTTATACAGTACATTATTACTGCTTTCATTCTTTCAATTCGTTTTGAATATTCGGAATCATTCACAATATTATAAAACTGTATAAGATAGCTGTAGAACTATAAATGCTATAGAATGAAATAAATAAAGAAAAGTAAGTTTTCAAATTGCGGTATTTGCCGATAAATCGGTAATCGCTACAGAAAAACAGAACAAATTACAGTATTAAAATCACAACAAACAGCGGAAGTGGGACAATTTTTGTATTTTTACTGTAAGACATGTAGAACATGTACGAAATCCATACAGAAGTATGTGTGTATTCTATACTTTTGAAACAACTAAATCAGACTTCGGAAAATTTGACCGTATTAAAGCTGCTTTTGGGAATTTAGATTTTAGGTCTTCGTTTTACATGTACCCAGACCAGTAAATATTTTTGAGTTTTGAATTTTGTGTATAAATCAACACCAACGCCTCAAAGGCGAAAAGGAGGGCAAGATTGTTAGAATTGCTATTGTAAACATGAGCAGTTTTGAGCATAAACATAA